GTCTTACACTGCTAATTAGGGACGGCTAGCGCAGATAGCCCTCGTGTAGCTTTGCGCGAAATTACAAAACAAACAAACAAACAGAAACTATACAAATAAAAATGAAGTCACCAATTTAATAAAAACAAAAAATAAAAACAAAGAATAATAATGAAAGGAATTAAAATATGTTTTGGGGCTTAATCTGTTGTCACGACAGAATTGGGTCATTTAAAAAGTTCGAACAGCAGAGTTTCTGTTTCCATAGAAAAATAACATATTTTGTTGTAGTTCGTATGCAGTTGGAAATATTCATATAAAGGACCTCGTTCTTTTAACCTAATTTTTTTCTCGGGAGGAATGTACAAACCTTTACAAGATTATACATGTTCTCGAGAAACCAATTAGGGTTTGAGAAGATTTATTTACATTCCCATGCATTTAAAGGGAAGATTGTGGTAAAACCTACGTAAGATGTTTTAATCTCAAAATTTTCAAAACAGTGGTGACATTTTACTCACTTTTATTCCCAGTAACCCTATTTCACTCTGTTTCATATGCTAACAATTAATTAAAGCTTGCTGAAAGAAAAAGGGTGAGGGGCAGGAAGCGAGTTATCCTGCCAAGCAGGGAACTTCAATGCATTGTTTTCGGTGGTACAGCAATACATACATAAAAAAATAATAATATCTCATTCTGGCTAGATTGAGGGGAACTACATATTATACAAGGTGGAAAGGGAGAGGGGCTGAAGACAACATAAGCATCAAGTCTTATCGGTTTCATGTTCATAACCCTGCTGAATTTTTCCTGTCGCTCAAGTGATACCTAATCTAAAGTTCCATTACTACCAGGTACTGTATTCCTGCATTAAAATAAAACAAAATTATTTCTTTAAACATAAACATCTCAGCTGTTTATGGTAAGTCTCTTGCCTTAATAAGTAAAACTACATTCAGTTTCACAAATACTTTTTCAATGAATTGTTTTCGCCTTAAACTGAGAATATCACACTCAGTAGAAATCCACATTGATGAGATAATCCTACATGATCCGTTGAGCTTTCTTTCCCTTTTACATATTTAAAGCCACCAAATTAACAAAAGCGTGAAGCTCAATGCAAATGAGTTTTTTAGTACTCTTATACATATCACAGATTTTAAATGAAATAAACATTCTAAGCACACCAGAATCCAAGTTATCTGAAAACACCCATGCGCAGTTCCTGCACAATGAAATGCTCTACTTACGCCTTTCAGGGAAAGTTTCGACTGAGAGATAAGATCCATGAAAATGTGTCACTATGTCTACTGAAGGCAAGTGAAATTAGTATTAAGTACTGCAAGGAGCTTAAACAAAATGAAAACAACTGAAAAATTGCATGTTTACATGAGTTCAATAAGCATGGTAATTTGACACACACAGTAGATGGTGCAGAAGAAAAGGATTACTACTACTGCTTTATTCTTGGTTTTTATTAATTACAGTTGTTACATAATAGAATAGTAAAGAAATGGGGGAATTAGGAAATGATACATATTCATCTTACAGAATGTATTATATGCTTCGTAATAGCAAAGGAGCAACATGTATAATTTCCACGATTGTATTTCTTGTATGCGTATGTGATGTACATATATTTAGGCCAAGCTGTACTAATGATCTCAGAAACCAGTAAGAGACAACAACACTGGATTGCTCACCTGTGGTACTACTGCACGTCACTAGGGACTGTTGGTTGTAGAACACAGAAAAAGGCAGTTGTTGAGCACCTTGTTGGAGGATATTCTGAAGCAGAGGTTTTGTGTCTAATCCCGGACTTGGAGTCTGAGAAGGAAGAATCTCTTCTGTGGATAAGTCTCGACTCTCCCTGGAGTCCAACTGGTTATTGTTGCTTCCGTTCACTGGATGTAAATGAAATAAACTGCATTATAGAATTATCACCATTGAACGAAGATATTTATATATTTTGTACATTTTTCAAAATTTTATTATAAGTGGCAGCAAAAGTTCTTTGGTTGTGTTCAAATTCATGGCTCTTTTTTAACTCTCCTAAATGTTAATGAAGTTCTAAATAAATGCAGCAAAATGCTAGCTTTACGTTTATAGTATGCAGCTAGGTGTGTCGATGGAATAGTAAATGACATTCGTGGGACCATTCCGTACTTTTCGAGATCACATCTTTTCTACTACGTTAGTTATTTACAGAACAACGTAAAAGATTGTGAACATTCACATTAGTAACGCAGTTTGGAGAATAAACTTTGACTTCCAACTGATAGCAAAGTAAAAGAAAAAAAATTCAGATTATGCACACTTAATTTTTTCATACAGCAAATTTATCTACGGTGTGTACCACAGATCGCAAACTACGAACCTTGAAAAAAGATCGTGTTGTTGGAAGTAAAGCACAAAGCTACATAACGGGCTGTCTGTGCTCTGCCCAACACGGGTATCGAAACCCGGTTTCTAGCGTTTTAAGTCCGCAGACATGCCGCTGTCCCACTGGGAGGCAAATATCGCGTTAAACAATATTTTTATGCACTTAAATAAGTCAAAAATTCTCTAGTCACTTTATAAACACACAAATAATAGAAATGCCGTTCAATATTTATAAACGATCGATTGGTCTTTAAAATTATACCTTGTAAAGATTAAATAGAATACAAAATGTACAAATACCGGTAGCTGCATTAGCATTTTCTTCATCACTTTACGGGTTTGTTGCCACAACTGTTTTACTATTTACAATATAGTATCTTAATAGCATCTTTTCCATTTATCAAATATGTGTTTTACACAAACATCAAATGAAACCGGTTTCATGATGTGTTAGTAGCCACGGTGACGTGAGAATGTAAATTAATCAATGCTGTGTTTGTCTACCCACACGATAACTAGAGAACGGTTGACAGTAGCTACAATCACTTTATTTTACATTTATTAAAAAAAATATGATTCTTTGAGGAAAAGGGTTTAAGAAACTTGTTGGGTGTGATACAAAAGGATCAACAACTGTCTTGAATACCAGATCCTTATCTTTTAGTCTTAGTTCATGATTTTCAAACTTCACTGTACACGATTTTATAACCAGTGACTATATTCTGTAACTTTTCAAGAACAGCGTGATCATTTGATAATTTGCCGATTTAAACTGAATGCGTGTACCATCATTATTGATAATAGAAAGCAATCTGACGGAAATAAAACTGAACAATCAAATTACTAAACGTAAACAAATGACGTAACATATGTATAACAAGAAGTAACAGGTTTCCCCGCATAGCTTTAACCACCTTGCTGAAAGAAACAGGTATGTCGCGTATCTAACATCCCCTCAACAATCACAGGTGTTTCATAATTGGTCTCTTTTTCCAGTTGCGAATAATAAGTCGCGAATTACAGAGATAATAAAATTAACACAAAGTACACATTTCAACAACTACTAATACAATACACTGAGATTAAAATGCTTTAATATCCTAAAGAAGGTCATATTTAATATTTAGAGTCGGAAAATAGCAAAAGCAGCATGGTTTCGCAAGGCAAACCACACGGAATCTTGGGTCTATGAACTTGTATTTTGGCAACACTCCATTCAGCCATACGAAGGTCATGTTTCTATTGCGTTCAGAAAGTAGGTTGGTTGTAGGGCAAGAATCAATGTGTCGGCTACTGTATAAATATTTATCCCAAGTCCCACTTTTACAATATCTATAATTTTGCACAAAGTTACAAATTTGGGGTGATAGACTAAGCTAGAAGGCACCTAATCAACACCACCCCACTACCAACTCTTGGGCTACTGTTTTCAAACTGATTTGTGGGATTTCATCGGCACACTTGTAACGCATCTAGGGCCCGAAAGTGCAGAGCGCTTTTTTTTTAATGTGTTAATAACGGGAAGTGAATCACTGAACCTAAAGGGCAGCACACGCTAATCACTAGGCTGAGCTCGGCCCCTGACACTGCGGACTCAGGCGAATTGTTTTTTATTATAATACTTGTGTAAAGGAAACCTTCACAGTGTTTAATATCGTTAGCATATACAGATACAGAAGAAGTAAATTATTTTCCTCTGATCTGTTTTTGTTTTATCACATTGCTGTTTCTTATAATTTTGGTATATAGCCCAGTGTAATTATTAATAAATTTTGCTCAGAGTAAGCTAGCAATAAAAATTAGAACTAAAAAAAATAACTCCTAAATTAGTGATAGCCAATTTTATGCAAGAAACCGTTAAGAAATGCATAATGCCATAAATCAACATATAAGAAAACTAAAATCTAATTTGAATAAACAAAGTCATCATTTGGGCTCCCCCGTATTAGATTTATACTTATCGTCGCAATCCCCATAACGTTTCATGAAATTCGACCAACTTAAGAGAATCAGGTTAGTCCTAATTCCATGTACTAAGGTAAGGCTGCAATATTAACTTCAAAAGTGTAAATGTCAATAACATAGAAACATTAAGATATTCCTAGGCATTTTTGTTCACTCGTAATTGTCGCTCTTTTTGGTCAAGTCACTTGTAAGAACTGCTCGACTACATGGCATAGTGTACCAAACTTTTTAGGACAGATAATAGTGTAAACTAGATATGTAGGTTTAACCTTACCAAAATACTGCTGGAATTACAACAATTTTTTTTTGTTAATTAAAGTCACAAAGACTACACAATAGGCGTATCTGTGCTCTACCCACCCACGGGTAGTCGAAACCCGGTTACCTAGCGTGTAAGTCCGCCAGACATACCGCTGTGCCACTGGTGGGCGTACAGCAAAGAACGAATCTACAAGGTGGAGATTAGAAGTCGACAAGAAAATACCCAAAATGATAACTGCGATACGGTGTCTATCGTCTCTTTAGTTGTTTTTGTTCTTTAACAAAGGTCCCCCGGTGGCTCAGCAGTTTCAGGACACTTAACGATAAAATATGGGCTTCGATCCCTGCGGTGAACAAAGAACATGTATCACATTTAGCTTTTTACCCAACAACAAACATCCCCCCCCCCAAAAAAAAACGTTTCTGCTGTAAATACAAGTTCTTCGAATTCTCACCAGCCAAAAAGTATTTCAGTTTTTTTTTTCCGGGTAACACTTACCTCTCCACGTTACCCACCAATGAAACACACACAGTTGGCTGTCCCTGACCCAGATACAGGTCGTTCAACAGAAGAGCGGAGAGAGAGAGGAGAATGGATGGAATGCGCAATTTCACAAATAACAAGTACGTCATGAGTTCTATGTACGCAGTCAAGGCTGACTTGTATTCAGGTTTCTTGGCTATTTGCTTTTTTTTGTTTGTCTATTGCTGTAACAAACATTTACCAGCATATATATATAACTAGAAGGAAGGAAATTACTTATGAAAGATCTTTTTTTTAGTTTTTTGATATCACTATTTACTGGGTCAGTTAATTTTGCAAAAAGTATTACTAAAAATGCAAACACTGAAAGAAGTTCTTTGTTTGTTTGTTTTGGAATTTCGCGCAAAGCTACACGAGGGCTATCTGCGCTAGCCGTCCCTAA